GTTTATTAATCTACCCCTAATCGTTTAATAATGAACTGCTTTCCTTAAAATATGAAATACAAAACCTTTAAAAGAGCTCCATATACCCTGTGCCTCTTCAAATACCCTTACGCTCAAAAACCCTTTGGATCATGAACCCTTCAAGGGTATATTCCATCCTCATAAACCCCTCAAGAGTTTATGAAAAGGAAAATCAAGGGCAAGGGTTGATTATTCTGCGCTTTTTTTTTACAGTGCATGCCATGAGATGAAACGAGCATTGAATCCAAACGGTGTTATGGCTTCCTTGAGAATGTTTAAGCGTGTACCCCGATCTTGGCCCCTAAAGCAGAGGATCAGAGTGACAAGAATGCGAAAGAATCAATTGAATCATTATAAGTAGTGAAATTTAGTCGATTGAAATTTTCGCAATCTTTAATTTAATTCTATAAGCTCATATTTGCCCTATAGGGTCTATTTCAATCTTGCTTACGTGATATCTATATAATTTAATCCAGTAATTAATATATTAGGTTTATGAGCATATGGCAGTGGAAATAATACCGCTTGAACAACATCACGTCCAATGCAATTAGCTGGTGAAAGGCAATATCCCATGCAAACGGTACCACTTTGACCTAGATAAATTAAAATAAGGTAATCAAATATTCAATATCTCAACATTTTTGCGAATTACATCGATTCGTGACTAAATATTTACCACTAAGCGGTGATATTGGTGCAGCACTAAGAGAAGCGCACTCCAGCACAATTACAATCAATATACCTAATAAAGTTTTCATGAGAATAGTGACGTGTTGTTTGAATATAACTCTTACTCAGCAACTGTGCCTTGGTACGATTGTTTTTCTTTTATATACCATTTTTTTAGCAGTGTTTAACGGAGAGGAAGTTCATCTCAATACCCAATCAGTTTATACATAGTTTATAAATTCTAAAATACTATTTATGTGCTATCGGTACTATGCTCGAAATAAATCTAGTGTAATATAGAATGCAAATGACCTTAATTTGCATAAAATAAACTTTGTCAAGTTAGGATTTTGTATGGATATTATTTGTATCAATGAAATTGTACAGCTAATTAGCATCATAATTCTATGACATCGATGCTTTGTACTAGATCAATCATACCTTCACATATTATTCTATATTAATGTGCAAAAGATTAAATGAATTTTGCATTATCATTTAATGAAAATTTTTATGCGCCTAACCTAATATCAGCCATGAATTAGCATGGTCGGCAGCTTTACTTTTTAAACATACGAATGATACATTAAAAGAACAATATTTTAATGTTGTCGAAAAAATCATAGGTTTCTTCATAAGTCAACCAATTGAACAAGGGACATTTCCTGAATCAATCAATTCACCGTATGTTCAAAGTGCTGAAATTATATTTTGGCTTCTAGAAATAGTTCACATTTTGAATGAACAATAAAAAATAACAAATCAGCATGGATTCTAAGAAAATAAAAACTTATTGAATCTTTTCTCGATTGAATTCATATATGTGTAATCTATATGATTGAAAATATTATTATTATTCAAATTAACTGCGATGTAATTTGTGTGATAAGTGGATTTCTTTTACGGCTTGTCCGCAGATAACTCACCCACGTTTGAATTGAACTTCGGTTTATCATAACTCATCCGCAGTACGAGATGGAAAGTTATGGCAATATATTCTTTCAAAAGAATCCCTTCCATCAGTGCATCTGACTAAAGCTCTGCTACGCAAAAAATTTCTCGCTCAGAGCAAAGTATTTATGATAGTGTTTGTTACTAAGGCAGCGCATTTTACCGTGGTAAGATTCTTTTTCAGAAGTTTGCTGCTACGGCGAGTTACCATCAAAACATTACAGCAACTGCCTTATCAGTTTGTTGTGACATTCACTTAAACAGCATTTTTCTTTTACAATAACAGGAGATCCGCCGATGTGAAATTGTGGCTCAACCTTCGATGATACTTGGATTTTGCGTCTTTTTAAATGATGAAGTCATTTTCAAAATATGATAGTAGATAACATGACCCTTTTTTGCATAATTTTAACTCAAAAACTACTTGATTTTGGCTGGGCACAACCATTTATTCTAGTCATTATCTAAAATAAATAATCTATCTTTCGATAGGAGATATATGAAAACATATAAAGCATATTTGCATGCATAAGTGCTGCTATTTTATATTTGAGAAGTCTTTTGCTCAACTTCGGCCAATCAAAGAATATTCTAGCTTGGCAGGCCGTTTACTTATATGAGTACCTTAAAAAGCGCTTTGACATTTTGTCGCATTGTGAATTAAATCTTCACCACTGATATTAAAATATTTACAATTTAGATTTATTTTAGATTCACGACCATATTCCCTCTATATCATCGTTATTTTCTTTTCCCCTTCGTTTCTCTTTCTCTTGTTCATGCATAGTTTGTGTCAGCGATTTTTTGTTCTCCTTTCCTCTATTGTTGGTAAAGTTTTCCAATTTTTACTTTAGTGAAACCATAAGTGACTGGCACTCACACTCGTCACATAATTCTCATTACTCTAGTCTAACTTTTTTTAAGCAAATGAAAAGAAAAAGCATGTGAATGAGGATGGTCAGTTTTCAAACTAACTTCACAAAGTCTATTGAAATTGAGTAGAAATCTGGTTAAAGATCAATCAAAAACAGATGGTCAAGTTCAATTCATTTGACGCGTGACGATCAACATCAAAATCATGCCAGCTCTTGTTCATTCTCAGTAATTATTTTCTTTCAGATGCAATTAAAAATACGAGTCTTTTGTTATGAGTGACGCACATTTTGTACGACTTCTGTAACGTTGATTCACTAACACATCATAATGAATACGCAAAACCTATAATTTATTGAAGGACGCAGACAGAGTGGAAGAAAATAACGCTAGTTTCACTACGTCTTTTGACTATAACATAACGTTTATTCATCATCATGAGGTATTTTACGGTGAAAAAAGTATACAATTCTCACCATCAAGAATCATTGTCTTCTACAAAATACAAAGGACGTGGTGAAAATAACTGAGCAAAACAGAAATCGAATATCGTCATCCGTCTTTATCAAATAGTGAGAGGAGAATGCTCCAAGGTTTTGATCGGATGAAGGAAGCACAAATATTTTGTTTATCACTATCAGCATTACCTGGCATAAATTTATTCAGTTCCCTCGGAACTATGCATATATTTATGAGGATGCATTTAATCTAATTATACAGTTTTGAAATAATATTTCACACAATATTGAAGACTAGCTAGGATTGAATAGATTTCGAGAAGTTCGCATTGCTATTGAATTTCGTAACTTGGAAACCAAAAACGAAACAGCGAGTTACTGTTTAATTAAATAGAAAATGAACAGAATAACAACGAGAGAGCCTGGAAGAGTGCAACAATCGACCAGAACTGTAGAAGAACGTCCGTCTTTTACATATTTGACAAAAAAAAACTTTCAATTAGATTAGTTTGTTTGAAAAATTTAAAATGTCACATGACTTCAACAATATGATATATAACGTTTTGTCACTCGAGAAACAGTTGGATTCCTTTTAGATTGTTTATCACAAAGGATTGTTAGTTTTATTGTCTGAAAGATGGCTGAAGAAAATGATTGGGATGGTATGTATATCGTTCTCGATGCCAATGAACAACCATAAATCGTATATTTGCATTCTAGTGCGTCTATTTAGTTGTACTGATGATTCTCGTACTTGTTGCTCTGCATGTCTATTTGCCGATAATGTCGAAAAAATCGATGCTAGTAATTGGTGGGGCATGTGCTGTGCGTACTGTTGCTTAGGAAACGTTTATCTATGTTGGATACCACAATATTTCAAACTGGAAAAGTTTCGACAAAAATATCATCTACGAGAGGACCCATCGTGGTGACTTTCCTGCAACATTATTCTGTGGTCCATGTGCAATCTGTCAAGAGGCTCGCGAGCTGGAATCTAGAGGTAATTCTTTAAAATTCATTTCGACTAAAACACTTTTTCAACATGTTCCCTGTGTTGCTTTAGAAACTGAGTAAAATGTTAATTTCCAGGTTAAAAATCAACCTGTTGTGTCTGAACCAGCACTGGATAGAAACTCTCCACAAGCAACTCGTGACTAAACTGCGTTTCATCCAATTCTGGTCGTTCCGCTTAAGATTAATGAATCTTTTCGTTTTTTTTTGTCTCTATAGACTATACAATAACTAATTCTATTAGCAATATTCTCTCGATTTTTTCATTTTTGACTCATGCATTTTATAAGAAATTATTTCAATAAATTAGAAAAATCAAACGTTTATCGTCAATGAGAAGTCTCTACGTCGATGTCAGAAATAAGATGTTCTTATGAAACTTTATGATAGATATTACGGCTCATAGGTTAATATTTATAAAAAATATTCTCGATTTTACTACTAAACTGACTCATAGATTTGACTCATATACAACATGGCCAGCTTTTGTCCCTGATTCAAGCAGTTTCCTGTCATATAACTTTACGATCCTTGAAATCATTTTCGACATTTTCATATCTTCATTCTTGTGTATATTCCAAATAAACTATTTCGCATGTATAAAAAAAAACTATGAAATACATCATATCATAGTTCTTTAACCAGAAAGTTGATCTTATGAACGAATTGCTTTTTAAAATATCGAATAATAAAGATTTCAAACTTTACTCTCATCGCTAGTTCTAATACAGTTTCGTCGCATCGTATGATACTGCTGTCGTGCGAGTCGATACAGCATTTCTGCTAGTTCCATTAGAGATAGAAAACTAACACCAATCCAAAGACCTGTTTGACCGCCAACATTAGACAGAACGCCAACTGCTGTCAGTGTTGCTGCTTGTGTATAGTTTTCAATTCTAGTCGATTCATGTACTAGTTCAATTGAGAGATAACTGGCGTCAATATGTGAACGCCAATTCGTTAGCCAATCATGAGGTAATGGAATTTTTGAATTTTCAACAAATCTTTTAATATCATCCACTAGCCACGCTGGCGGTGTTCTCCATAGTGAATTTTTGATACTGAAATCAGTAATAAAACATTGTTGTGGACAATATGAGCAATGTTGTTCAAGAAGAGACGACGAAGTCAAGAAAACATAGGCTGCTTCAGAGTAACACTTATTAGATATATTGCATAGAGGAGCTAAAATCATTTGTTCAGTTTCAGGTAAAAACACCCAACGAGCATTCCATTGTAGAGGATCAATACAGCCGCAATGTTTATATCTAAATTGAAATGAATCTATCTAGTGAATCAATTAATCAAAAATCATTAAAAGATATTTACGTAAATACTTGGGTACACAATTCATAGCATATGTCTTCTGTGTATCCATATTCAGTACCTTGGTAATTATCAAACATTGCTTGCATCATAGGAGGAATTTTATCATCACATGTCGAATAAGGAGAACGTAAAAATGAAATCATCTTTTTAGTATATGTAATTCTATGTTTAAATCCAGTTGCTAATGCCATCCCAGCACTATCAATCATAGGTAATTGTGCGTTATCATGCAGCACCGCTATCATACCAACCCCTTAGATAGAAATATATTTTTAATTTGTGTCGAAGATCGAAATCTTCACGCATAAACTTGTTAGGTCGTGTTTCACTAAATTATTCTACTGACCTTCTCTTATATATGGTACATATTGATGACTATGAACATAAAAGCCTAGATTCAAAAGACCCGGCCCACCATATTCATCACTGTAGTGAACGCTATTAATATTTTTCAATTTAGCATTAAAAGTATAACAGAAACCGTACGAAGATGAAGAAAATGAAGTAAAGTTTACTACTGAACAAGCGCGTCCATTGAAAACACATGTCATGAGCATAGAACTGAGCGGAAAGAAGAATTCATCGAGAGATTCATTTCGATTTATTTTCATTTGAAAAAAATCACCGATACGTTTTATTTGTTGTAGCGACATTGAATTCGTATCATTCGCATTCGTAATATTGAGTGTAGTTGTATAGTTTGAAAATGATTGAACGAAAAGATCATAGCGAACAGGAGCTAGATTACAAATAGTAAATGCTGGGAAGTGTTGTGGCCACTCATTGACGATATCCACTGATGTTTGAGTAGAATACTCAAAATACTTACGAATTTCTTGAGTAACAAAGAAAATTGTAATTCCCGTGAAAACGACAAACGAAATCGACCAGAAAATTCTATTATGCATACTCTCACTACGAGCAATACCTGGGATACCATGAGTCGATGTATTCAAAGCAAATTGTCGAATAATAGATCGACGTCGAACTACTCGTTCACGTCGCTTATTTGTTTTGTTACTAATGACAAAAATAGTATCACTATACATGCACTTTGTACGAAATCAAATATACGCGATTGTGTCGCATCCACAAGAAAAAAAATGAATGTAAATAGTCATTTTCTGAAATCTTGTTGAGTTCGATGTCCTTGCAAGATTTGTTTTCATATTCCTGATAATTCTATTTTCTTTTGACCTTTTCCTTTCTCATTTTTTCTTCTTCTAAGATTTGCCTTTTTTATGGGACAGTGTACATTTTTATAACATTTGTTTTCACATACTTGATAAGTAATATTATTGATTACATTGGTTGAGATTTGCATAGCATATGCATGAATAATGAAATCAACCCACTGAAGACAATTTAATAAGTAAAACAGTTATATACCAGTAGTGTGGTATTTACCTTAACCACTGATTCGAATAATCTCTGAGCAAAACTGGAGTCTTATGCTTTCAAATAAATCAGCTAGATAGTCTACTATTATGAATAGATCATTCTCTCTAATTAGTATTGTATTTTGTTTTTACTAACCAATAGATACTTATTGTGGTAATTGTAATGATATAGTTTCATTGAGATTACAATAGACAATGAGTTGACATTTTCTCCTCATTGGCGACTACTAAACAACAGTGGATGCAAAAATAGATTTTTGTATGTTAAAATTCATCTTTATGAATTGATATGTATGTACTATTGTAATTTTGAATTGCATCAGTAAGAAAAACTACCATAATTCGATGTAAAATGGATTCGTAAAAGTTTTTCTTTCTCAGTTATCATAATTATCTTCACCATTTTGTGAATTTAGCTCTCGTTGGTTGAATTAGAAAGAAAGAAAAACAAACGATCTTTCTATCTTTAATTCTGAACTTGCGGCATTCGTTTAGCCTAGAAAAAAACAGTCAGGAAATCATACGCATAGTACTGAGAGGATCGAAAGTTGACTTAGTCCAAATGCTACTGAACAACGCATTGACATTTCTTTTCTTTTTCTATTATTATTTTGTCAGCCTAAATAATTCATGACAAGTGTTGTCCTCTATATTTGACAGTTCTACGATCATTGTGAGATTCATCAGTGTTGTCAATAAATATAATGCAAAACAACAATTATAATTTAAAAAGCAAAATATGTCAAAATCACGCTCATCTATCTCACAAATTTCTTCGGCTTATTATTTTTGCTAGACTACGATTAATCGTTGACTTCTTTACAAGATTTCTGTTTCACAAATACGTTCAGATTCTTCTTGTCCGGCATGAACGTTTTATATTGAAGAGAACTGGTAAGAAACAAGCAATCATTTGAATAATGAATCATTTCAGGTAGAAGTCAGATTGTCATTGTTGAGAAAACAAAAGGTTTCACCTTTGATAATTACAATATCTAGGTATCATGAGGAAAAAAAGGATGGTTACTTAATCTCATCAAAAGAATATTCTAAATTCTAAGTTAAGAAATATTTCTCATGCAAGTTCATTCTGTTGTAATTGGTTGCAAGCTTTTTCTCATGGTCCAATCATATTGTTTCGCTGCCAATGAATTTCTGAGAATGTTCCACATTCATTTTTTTTAAGTTTATGCAAAGTAAATTTATTATAATTGAAAACTAACAGCGATACAAACAATAAATTGAACTTGACGATGACCATGTAAATTTTCTTTTACAACCGTGACAAGAGTTACAATTCACAATCTTAATTATATAAAAGATTTTTTTTTCCGAGAAAAAAAAAAATTTTCTCATACAATTCGATATTTTCGTTATATAGTATCAATGTTTGTACAATCTAATATTTGCTAAGCTCTTTTGCGAGAAAAAAAATGCAATTTACTTAAATAGACATTTGATAGACTTCGATAAGTCAAAAACAACCGTCGGAAATAGAGAATGAAACAAAAGCTAGAGCCTCATCATTATTAAGAATTTTCTCCGACATTCATCATCTTGTACTTATCACATTTTTCTTTGATGCTTAGGCTTCTTTCTTTTTTATTTCAATTAGTATAAAGAATTTACTTCATTCTCAAAAAGAATCCAACTATTTAGTGGAGTAGCCAGGATTTTTTTAAGTAGGTGGCAATCTACCAGCTAAATTATTTTTAGTGGGTGGCAATAGTGGGCAATAAAAAACTCTAGTTAGCAATAACTTTTTCTAAAAATATCTTCATTACAGAAGCCGTTATTTACTGGAAGAGATTGAAAATTGATTTTTGGAAATCACTTGATTAAATCTCGTCAAGAGAAAATGTGTTGAAATAAAGCATTTCTTAAATCTTTAAATATACACAGGTTTTAACATTTTTCAACAATGGACAATTGCTCACATTAGAAACCAATTAAGTGGCAAAACGCCCAATTGCTAGCATGTTGGCTACGCCACTGGAACTAATATATTTTGATAGTTCATGATATATAATACATTGCGAATGTGCTTTTACCGGAGATTATTATTAAAAAGAAAAACAACTTGGTTAATTGAGAATGTCCTGTAGCTAATAACATATATTTTACCACATGCTACCATGCCAGCGTCTGAAAAATTGAAAAAAGAAATAGTAAATCTTGTGTTCCTTCACAACAGTTAATGTTACATTCTTACTTTTTATTGTTTTCTTACAGGAATAAACAACGAACCATATAGTATTATTATTAAATTTATTTGAATAAAAACGTTAAAAAATAATGATTGATACAAAATCTAAAGCACCCGGTAAATATTTCTTCTGAACAATGTTTGTATTTGTTGTTATTTTAGTACCTTTTTGGTGTTCAATGCGTGTTTTTATCACTTTTATGAGTTTTCTTGGTATGGTCGTACATTTTTCACAAAAAACTAACATTAGCATAGCTCTTGTTTGCATGGTAAATCATTCAGCTATTCAACATTATGAAAAAAATATTAGCAAAACACATTTTACTGAAATAAATTATAATTGCCTTCAAACCAATAAAACGAATCATCGTGTAAGTGAGGAAAATCAAAAGAAAAGCTTCTAGTCATGTTTTATTCTTAGGAAGGACCGTATATTTGGAATAAAAATATTCAAGGTATTATATTAAGTTCCTATTTCGGAGGTTATATCGCAACTCAGATACCAGCTGGCTATTTAGCTGGTCGATATGGCGTTCGTTTTCTCTATAGTGGTGCTATTCTTGTGTCAAGTTTAGCGACTATCGCTATGCCATTCGTTACTTCAATACATTGGATTGCTTTTACTATGCTTCAAATACTTGTTGGACTTGCGCATGGCACGATTTGGCCATGTATTGTTGTTATAATGACCCATTGGGCACCATCCAACGAGCGTGGAAAATTAATGGGTTTTGTAAATGGAGGTACTATAATTTCGCTTGAATTAGAAATACGATTTTCTTTTGTACTATAATGAAAGGCGCTCAAGTGGGAAATGTTCTCGCTTTATCCATCAGTGGAGTGATGTGTTCATGGCATTTTGCTGGTGGTTGGCCGTTAATTTTCTATTCAACAGGTTACTATTTGTTGAGCATTGAAATAGAAATAATTCATATTTTACAGGTGCAATTGGTTTCTTTTGGGCTATATTATGGATTTTAATCTATGTTGACTCACCTGATAATCATACTTATATAAGTATAATAGAAAAAAAAATCATTCTGGAAAATACACAACAATCGTCAAATAACAATGATCGATTTCATACTCCATGGCGAGCTATTCTAACATCATCGGTTTGCTGGGCATTATTTATTATGCATACATGTAGTAATTGGGGTACATATACATTTCTGACATCGATTCCAAAATATATGGATGAAGCTTTGGGTTTTGATATTAAATCGGCAAGTGAAAAAAACGGAATCGAAAAAATATTTTATTTACTCGAAAAAGTTTAGAACGGAATTTTGTCTGCTCTATTATATGCAAGTCAATGGTTAAGTATAAATATATCTGGTGTCATGGCTGATATGCTTATACATAAAAAACTATTGTCAATCACACAAACAAGAAAATTATTTAATATATTAGGAAGTTTTTTACCCGCGATATTTGTTCTTGGCTTAGCGTTTATGACCTGTCAACACAAATATACGGCTGTTATTCTTCTAACAATTGGTGTAGGATTGACGTAAATTAATGCAAATTTTGATTTCGAAAAATATATTTATATATTTTAGTGGCTGTTGTTTTGGTGGAGGTTTTGCATTAGTACCGAACGATATCGCTCCAGCATATGCAGGTATTATTTTTGGCATTTCCAATACATTCGCAACTATACCAGGTATTATTAGTCCATATGTAGTTGGCGCTCTAACAGAAAAAGTACGTCTATTGCTTTGGGCATGAATTTTAAAAAAATTGTTCTGTTTTTTATTTATAAATTAGGATCCAAATAATTGGTCCATTATATTTTTCCTATGTACTATTATTTATATTATTGGATTAATCATATTTTTACTATTTGGTTCAAGCGAATTGCAACCTTGGGCAATAAAACAAATAGAAAATAATGTTTTGTATGACGATCTATTATCTAGTGAGTTTTTTAGATTCATAAATTAAACTGACATAATTGTGTTTTTTTTTTCTAGAACAAAATAATGAAACAACAGAAAAAATATTAAATCTAGAAAATTAAAACGTGTTTCTAGTAAATGAATGGTTTATTCTTATTCTTTGTTTCGAATGATAAAAGTATAATTGTCAAGATGGATTTTTTTATATTTCATTGATCAGTTGATCAGCTGACTTTAACAGGCAAACTTCTCAAATCTTCGCTTCCGATTTCAAATATGCACATCGCTTTTTGCTGAAAACATCCATATCTATACTTGGAAAACCCTTGCATATAAACGTAAAAAAGAATTGTCGAATTTTCACCTAATTTGTCCTGAGAATCTTGAGATTTTCACATGTCATGATGGAAAATAATCCAAATAAATTTCAGATTAAAGCGAGAAAAACAACAACTTCATAAATTTTTAGTGAGTAAAAATGAACACTTTAGAGGATGCGGTTGTGGCTGCCGATGAAGATACAATTCACATCCTAGTAGAGATCCCTGTTGTGGGTCTCTTTGCTTTGCAAGTCTTCTAGGTAGACCCTAAAAATGCGCCAAGGAGCTGTTTTGGTGTTAGTCGCACACGAGGGTGTGGGTGAAGATAACGTAGTCAGTCATTCACACCAACATATTTACATCAAAGAAATCGAACATGGAAAGAAAAGGGGCTGTGCCAATTGGTCTTTCGTCGTCTTTTACTGTGTGAAAAAAGCAGGTGAAAGATGCACACTATCAAAATCGTCGAGGCAACGCAATCAAATATTGCCAGATGTGCATTTTAAAAAGCAGAATACATTTCTCAGACAGCAGCTCCGATTAATTTGATTCGTGTAAGTGAATCTGAAAAGGTAAGTCGCACATATTGAAAGAGATACCGTTTGTTGTAATACTGCTCGAAATAATTATTAGAACGTAGAAAAGAAATAGAAGGAAGAGCTCTTTTTGGTAGCACCACGCAATTCGTTCTTTTTGCATTGCGCAAAAAATAACAGAACGATCGATTCATGGATTATTGAGCAATGTGTTGAAATACTTTCAAATAATCCTATACAAGAAAGCCCTTTATTATTGGCAAGATCACGACTAAGAATCTGCTCGTTTTTTTCGTATGAAGCATATTGAGCTATTGGTTTGGTCAATATCTATGAGCAAGCTGATCTATCTTCCTGTATAACCTTCGTTGAAACTGGAATATGCATATCGTGATACCAAACTTATGTTGGAAAGCTTTCCAATAATAGGATTAAAAGTGACAATAACTTGTTTTTGGTTGATCAGGCTGAAAGATACGCAAGAGTCTATAGCTGCGAATGTCATTATTGTTTCAGTGGAGGATAACAAAGAAACCTCGACGGTATCACCTTAATTGTGAAATGATGTTCACTCATTACCATTAACTCAGGACAACACATAATGATTACAGTAGTACAACGCCAGTGCATGAATTACTGATGAAAGTGAAATAAAAAGTTGCAATCAAACTCATCAAAGCTCGAATCTAGGGAAATAACAGGTCTCGAAGAAACATTTAAAATTTGAAAGAATTCGGAAAATTTCGAACGCTGCATACTATAAATATGCACTTTTTCTTTCTAGTGCTTCATACAAAATGAGTACTTTAGTAGATCAGCATTGTGCCACAATTCGAGAACAAGTATCAATCATCACTGTCGAACAACTCAAAACTTCATTTGATGCATTCGTTTCCGAAATAAAGAAGTCCAATAGTCCCACTGTGGATATTAAACTTATCAAACAAATCGTTCAAGTGTTGGTTCAATTTTCATCCCAGAATAGGCAGCTTGCCGATCCTGAACTTATCACACATTTACTCATTATCATCCTACGTGATTCTATTCTTATCGATTATCTTCGCCAAAGACAAAATAAAGATATTCCACGTGAACTTTTATCTGATCTGTCAGCATTGTTTGAAAATATAAGCCGTCGTATCAATGATACCAATGTTTATTTATTCAAACAGCTCCTTTTCCATCTTGAGGGTGTACGTAGGGATGAGGCTCTCCTCATTATACCAGCAATCACATCTAAACCCACACCCACACCCATTTTTTGTTTTGTTTCCATAATAGTAATATGAAATGAATAAAATAAATATTAACGGATAAACAACAGCAAACTACTATGGATGATCGACCATCAACAAAGACTTTCGTTTTATCACTTATTCCAGTTCTTGTTTTAGTTAGGAAGCTGATAGTTCAAAGAACTCTAGATCAGTAAGTTAGATGTACATATAATAAACATTTCAGTTCTCTAGATGAACAGAAATTATAATAAAACAATATTAATAATACATCTTCAGTTGTTATACGATACCCTTTATATCCAATATATAAAAAAATGTCAGCGTGCCATTTTAAATACATTAGCAAATAACTAATGCATATAACTATATGCTGTTCATGAATCAACATCAGTTGTATCTTATTACAGAAAAATATCGATGAAATGACCTTATTTACCTCCCTAAGAAGTTTTTAGATTACTTCAAAATAGTGCATAATATAGTATTATTCACTGAAGTAAATATGGTTTCATATTCTTTCTAACAGATTATGGCAATATCGAAAGAATATGAAGCAATGTTGACGATAAGTAATTAGATCTCTTGAGATTTAAGACTTTCGAAATTAGTAAAAAAAATGTCGTTTTACATGTCACAGTACTCAGACAATAAATAGTCGAAAATGAATCGGAAATGTTGGATCATCATTGCCATCATTATTACTTGCTTGATAATTGGCATAGTCACTTTTGGTCTCGTACTTAAATTTGTAATTCTTGCACCAAATGACTCGAAAATAAATATCACCGAAACATCAACTACCGGGATAATTACAGAAACAAAAGCAACAGCAGCAACAACTATATCAGCAACAACGACACCGACAACGACAACAACGACAACGACAACGACAACGACAACAACGACAACGACAACCACAACGACAACGACAATGACATCAACGACAACACTAACAACAACAACAATGACAACTACTACTGTAATTACTACCACTTCTGTTGCTACTAGTAGTACTGTTAGGATCACAGACCTAAATAAAACGACTGTTGCATCAGGTAATTTTTGACGAATGCTCTCTGCAAACACATCTTATTCTTTGTTTAGGTAAATCACAAGGTTGCTTTGCATCTAATGTTACTCTACGTCTAGCCAATGGGCACTCAAAACTAATTAGCTATATTCGCACAGGTGATTTAGTTTTTGTCAAATGGAAAAATCAAGTCATAACAAGTCCGATCTTAGCTATTTTTCGACATTATCGAAGTTCAATCCGCTTTGTCGACATTTATACTGCGGAGTCTAACATTCCTCTTCGTTTGACACCACTACATTCAATACTTGTTCTTTCAAAATATGATAAACATGAACGTTATGTTTTTGCTAAAGATGTCTCGATTGGTAGTCTAGTTCTCTCATCAGATTTAAGTCCATTAACGGTCATCGACGTGAAAGATGTGGTAATTTCTGATGACAGTGGCTATGCTGTATTGACAATGGAAGGTAATATTATTGCTAATGGTATTGTAGCTTCATGCTACGCAACTTATGATCATTCAATGATGCATATGATCACTACACCTTTGCGATGGTGGTTTCACATTCTTCTCGAATTACGCCAATTGATCGTGTTTGATTATTTGCAACAGATGACAAGCAATATTATTGTTTCTTTTGTTGATTTTTACCTTCAATCAATTTATTAAAGTAATAATCAGACATGATAGTAGAAATTTACGATTATATGGCAATAAAATTTTATTCGGCAAGACTTTCTAAAGAAAATTTTCTTTTTTTATTCAACGACTAAAATATAAGCATCAACATGTTTTCTTTCTTACACTACTGTTGATCATGTGAAAAAGTTTTTAAAATTTTTACTTACAATAAAAAATTCTATTCATTCGATGTGTGTTCCAGAGATCCGAAACTCGACGAGTTTCCCCGCCTCATGGCGAGGCGAGGCGGCATTCTTTGCACCGCCGCGAGTACGAGTTGATTTTTTTAACTCGCCGAGTCGACTCGCCTATACTGACAATGTCATATTTTTATGAATGAATGGTGAATCGATATCGAGATCTTAGAATTTCACTGTAGATTTGTTGTTGGAGTATCTATTGGCGATGGAACATAACTAATCAAAAGAATGAATAACTAAACACATATTTATATAGTATGTTTGGGACAAAATTAAGATTCGACTAGACATACATTCATACAATGGAAATAAGTAAAATAAAAATAGAATAACTAATGTAATTAAACGCTACCCTTTTTCTTTTATAAAGATTTTATGAATCAAAATTTTTATAGTCTATTCCAGTTCCAGCAGTAGAAACTGTGGGCGTGGGATAGATAATTAAAATAATGAGGAACAAAACAACATCCTAAAGCTCCTGAAGTTCTATGTGTTTCTGCAAATCTGAGAGTTGTACGCTAGATCATCCTATAAGTCTATTTTCTATAAATCAAGAGCTCCGATTCCGTCATATCTCAGAATTCATGAGACCCGGACAGGTCTCTATCGGTACGATAACTGACACATAAGTTGTCTTTTTTCTTCATTTCATTACATTTTTGAGTAAAACACATGGCTATTTGAATTTATATCTAGTCGAATCCTAATTTTCTCTCGGCAAAATCAGGATTCCCATGCTATCCGAAAAAAATCCTGGTCTGCATTTGAATTCTAGTTCCGACCAGGCTAGATTAGGATTAGAATTTTCCTCTAAATATATATTTATCTATTCGATCTAGCCCACAGTCATTCCATTCTTGTAATTTTGTAGTTTTTAAACTTATTTATATGTATTAACAATACTTAATGAGATATAAAGAAATAAAAAATAGTACTCGTTGTAGGGACTGAGAAACTACCTAGAAAGATCTTTCTTTAAGATAGATACTAGGCGAGGCGGGGCGAGTCATGTTTTTGGCTGACTCACAGATCTCTGCTTTCAACTATGATTTGTTAACTTTATTTACTCACAAACTCGTGTTTGATTTTCTTAAGCATTCTAAATATCTGAATGTTACGCCTTCATATTTCCGATGTATTCCAATTGAGATTACTCTTACGAAATTGCTATGATTGATCAATACTTATGAAAGAGAAGTTTTCTGCGACCAATATAATATTAGATTGCTAGTCATCTGCTATTTTGAGATATCCCACAGCGAGATATGACTTAATAATCCATAAAAGTATTTCACAGTAGGTTCATGTGTATATTTTTTTTTTATTGTGTAAAACTATTATTATTAGTACAAAGTTAAAACAGAAAACCTTTCTCTCATTGGCGTTGCCGTTCAAAAGAAAATTAGTTCCAGTTAGTTTATCGGATTGTTATTCTGATAATATCATAAACTTTGGAACGTTAGTGTTATCTTGTAACAGAACGAGTTTTTATTATTAAAAATGGCATCTTCTCTTTGCACAAAATAAGCATCTGACATGATAAATTATAAGAAACAATAGTCGTAATACTAAGTACTTTGAATATGACTAAGGCCAAGAAAAAATATACTACACATAATTTGTAGGAATAAAATAACTGAGCATAAAACAAAGACACAACAAAGTCAAAGCGAGATATTTTCCTGAAAGACGAAATGATACAATTGAAAGATACGAATTCGAAGAATTTATTAATTCATTGGCATATACATTGTTTTGTTGGTTTTTTCTTTTTTTGTACGTTATATTTTTCATAATATTCATTATGAATTCGTTCAAATGTACATTCAGTTACAGTATCGGAATTATTATTTTTTCCGTATTCATTTCTAAGATCGAAGGTTACGATCAACGAGCATAAGTCAACATGATCTAAAATAATAAAAACAGTGGTATAAATATTTTGCTTGAATAAGACAACAGCTTACCGATCATTTTTTTGACAAGTGATTCTTTTCTCAAAGGACGTTCTAGGTAAGCTTTAATTTTTGTTAATACTAGAACTAAAAACAATCGCATATATAGTTGATAGTATTCTATGGTGCTAGAAAATTTACTTGAAAGGTTACAAAAAATAATATGTTCTTCGTTTACAATCGTATTTTGTTCTGATGGATCAGGACCGTACATAGGTGATATGAAAATATCAACTGGTAAGAAGTGTGTATGCCGAAATCTCGCTCATAAATTATCATCAAGTACGTTCGTATACTCAACGTCCAATAATATCTAAAATATTCAGAAATATACACTCTGTATAATTGTTAATGGCCAAAAAGATCTCACATTCATGAATTTAATAAAATACATGAAAACTTACACATACTTGCTTCGCTTTTTGAAAATCAGCCTCTGCTACTATGATATCAATGTCCATTGTGTTCCGAACTATACCATGAAAGATTAAAGCATAACCACCAACAATGTAATAAGAGACATTGTGACGTTTAAATAATTCACTAAATCGAATGACACTCCTGTGCAAAAGCCCGTTATGTGTATTGAAATGCATGGCGTTATCAAAAATATCTGCGAGAGATAAAGATGACATTATTAATATTATATAAAGCAACGGTGAAAATGGAGGACTATTTATATGCACAATATCAGATGAACAATAACGATAATTTAAAGAAATAACCGCCAGATGCAATAAATAATTAGTCTAATTCTCAGTCAGCGACGAACACAAATAGTCGCCAAATAGAATATGTATAGTCAGTCTATCAAGTGGTCAATATCAAACAAAATAGCTAATATAACGAACGAAAAAGAAACGAATCCATAAAGCAATGACATGAGAGGGTGCTCGTTTATCTGATTGTTTTCGTCTCTTGTATAGAGGTGTCAACCGTACGGCTAAGCCACCGCAGCCATCAAATTACTGGTAATTTTAAGAATTTTTGCGGAGTCGTTGCACCGCTGCAAGGGATAAAAGTTTCTGTGTTCGAATTAAAACAAAACAAAGATCTTTTAATGATCCCAAGGCTATTTCAGCCATCAATACTCGTAGAATAAGTAGCGACTTGAATAAATAAGAATTTCTCGTTCTCAAAAGAATATTCTAATTTTTAACTTAGCCGTCGCCGCCGGCGCGTAAATACTTGTAAATATCAGCTGGCGCCACCGTTGTGAAAAATAATTTAAGAATTTGTAGAAGCCGCCGCTGAAGACATTACTCATTCAAAAAACGAGCTGCTGGAAATGTCCAAAAATTGAAAATTGTTTCTCACCGCCGTTCAACCCTTCGGCTGATATCTGCTGTTAGAAACTGTGGCACAGAGTAGATTACTTTCTTGAAGCTGCTTGTAGCGCCATCTATGCATTGTTTTTATTTTAAGTAAATTAAACGAAAGAATTATTTTAAAATTAAAATCAAAATAATAACCATAAAAGAAAAAAATTTGGATAATCTTTTTGTGTCTATATTTTATTCCTATCGAGACAAATATAAGACACAAATGGCGACACGATTATGGTTTCGCTCGCTCTCGTTTTTTTTTCTATTGAAGGACATGTACAAAAAAAAAGAAAATTTTGAAAGTATTCTGTTTCTCTTGTTGCCTTTAGATTGATTCATGAGTAGTTCAGTTCATTCCCCTTCTTCTACTTCTTCTGATGTGGTGCTTGCACCTCATCCCTTAAATCACGTCAATCACAATCACACAGAATCATCCTCAACAACAAAAACACTTAAACGAAGTCGATCACCTAGTTTAACACGAGACGATAACAATGAAACAAATGATTCTATAACAACTACAAATACGCCATCAAAAAAAAGTCGAAAGAAAAGAAATACAACAGATATTGATCAGAGTTTAGGGTTAGTGTTTAATATTTTACTTTTAAAATAAATTTTTTTTATGTTTGATTAGACTACATTTATCGGCGGATAAATTGCATATATATCAATGGCCAATTGATGAACCTCATGCCGATTTACATGTTTTACAAGAACAAATATGTGATTATCTATCACTGAAATCTTTTAAAAGAAAATATCCAGGTTTGGTTTTTATTTAGACAAAGTTATTGTTTGACTATAAATGATTTATTTATTTTTATAGATATCTGTCGCAGAATTGTTGATTTACACGAAAGAGAATATTTAAAAGCACAACATGTTGTAACTGAAACACAATGTGATCTTGGTTTGACAGCACTAAAACTTGATGAAGTGCTGCAACTTATGTCCACTGATTATCCAGAAAAATGTCATGTAAGAATTTTGTACTACCTGCTTGAATCATCAAGAATGAAAGCCACTAAACCACGGTTCAGTCTAGAGTGACAACCAGTCATAGTTAGAAGAGAAAATATTCAGCGATGAAACTAACGCTATGTCAAAAAGTAGTGCTACTCTTTTTTGTATCTCTCCATATTTTATTTGGAAAAAGCGATATAGACCGAGGAATATAATGCTTCTATTTAAAAAGAAACAAATTCAATTTTTCATTTCATCTTATTTCTAGCAATTCAATCATGTATGGCAAGAAAAACGTCGTACAATCTTAGCTGCAACTAATACAAAGTCTAATCATAATGCAACTAGTAGTACAACTACGCTTTTATCTGCATCTATATCTAATCAATTATCTTCATCATCCTCTACATCAATTGCTCAATCGACGACTTCACTTGATAATGGAGATAAAAATCGTTCATCTGTATGTTTTATTGATTTCTCTGAGCACGTTTTTATTCTGATTCTTTTAGAAATTATCAAATACTGTTCGACAAGAATTAATACGATCAACTGTTGAATTTAATAATCAATTACAACGCGAACGACTTCAAGAACGTAAAGCCTGTTTTGATCTACAGACTATGGTTTGTCTTTCTATTTCGTCCCTACTTTTTTTTTCATATTCAACATTTCTTCTAGCAAATTCATTATCCAGCAAATCGACAATTTCGTTTACCATCTTATTTAACTCAAGTTGGCTCTTATCCATTAGCACTCGTACCCGGACAATACCAAGATTCATATATTAAATATAAACCTGAAGAACTTAAATATATGCCTATTAATACGGCAATATACCACTATCCAAAACCACTTTCACTTGTTCATACGGATCGCTTTTCGCAACAGGTAAAAATGATGGACGTATCATTTTCTCTCTCTCTCTCTCTCTCTCTCTCTGTATATATATATATATACAGACGAACAACTATTCTAGACATTCTATGAAAGGTCATTCAACAAGAAAGGCAATATTTTGATCAAGTTCTTTCGTTTTTACTTGTTTTTTCTCAAATGAAAACAATGAGTTTAATATATATATAGATTGGATGGAAGAGAACCTAAACATAGCTACTCTCTATTGTTGTTCTTTTTCTTAAGAACCCTCGATAAATATTTCTCTATAAATAAAATTTCATTCATCTCAAAAAAAAAATATAAACATTTTTAGAAATGAAAATATGTTTATATTTAATCTATCGAACTAACACATGATCGTCATCCTAACAATTTCTTTCTTTCTAGGGAGCATCAAGTGATGAAGAAGATGAAGTCACTACGACTACTAAACTGCCAATATCAACACCACAATCACCTTTATTAGTCAATGGAATCGGTAGTAATGGTCCATCATCAGTTCGTTTAACAAAACCCTCTACACCGATCTCAGTGAACAGTCATTCGAATCTATGTCATATGTGTAAAACAGCAGACGATGAAAACGATGAAGAATTCGTTACATGTACAAGTTGTCATCATCGGTATCATCCTGTTTGTCTTGATGTTAACGCAGAAATGTTAACTATTATTAAAACATATCCATGGCAATGTATTGATTGTAAAAGTTGTGCAAAATGTAATACAACACATGATGAAGTAAGAATCCTATTGATCATTCGAACTTGAAAACAGACAGAATATGAAGATAATTATGGCCTACAAGAAAAATCTCTACATAGTCAATTTCGAAATGTTGCATTTTTCTTTCAGGCTAATATGATGTTCTGCGATCGATGTGACCGTGGTTATCATTCTTATTGTGCTGGTCTCGAAGCCATTCCAGATGGATCATGGCAATGTTCAGCTTGTGATCCACCAGCTCCTCTTCCTCCTCCTCCATCAACTTCACCAACACCAACAACCAAAGGAAAACGAGGTCGACCTTCTAGTACAAAGTAAAACTTTTCATTATTCTCATCGTAACAATTTTAATCTTCTATCTTCTAGTCGTTCGTCTCCTCGTCAACAACCAACAACTTCTCCTAAATCAGAACTTCTTCCAACTCGTGTATCGTCTCGTCGCAGTCATAAAATTCTATCGACACCATTATCTCCATCGAATAATATAAATCATTCATCAAATTCTTCTTCAGCTGATGTACAATCTAATACGAACAGTCCTTCTGTGAATCTCATCCTAAGTCGGCATCAACAGCAATGGACTACAACCACTAGTAATAATAATAATAATAATAATACTATCACATCGACTAATCAAAGATAGAAAAAATAAATAAATCAACTTGATCAAATAATTCAAAACTGCACTTTGTTCTTGTATATTTCAATTCTCTTTTTTTTTGTGTTTCGTCTCTCAACTACCTAGATTAGGTAGTCGGATATTCCATGTTTATTTGTTTCTTTTCTACGTAAATAGTAGAGCGAGAAATATATGTATGAACCAAAAATAAAAAAACTATTCTGTATTCTATTTTCTCTTACTATTCTTCTCTACTTACCAAATATACACTTGCATAAATTCTATACATATATACATATATGTATATAAATAAACGACAAAGTCTTTGGAATTTTGTTTATATATCTATTTTATTTAAAAAAGAAAAAACTGAAAAGTATAATACGAAATCATTTAATTGAATATATGTCTTACTCTAGAATGTCAACAACTTCTACGCAACAAGTTCGTCCAGTGATTGAATGTTTTTGTCAGATAATATCTTTACATGGATTTACATCGATTACACCAGAAATATTTCGTCTTGCAAAATTTAATCGAAATGAAGCAGTAAGATTTCGTTAATATCTGAATGAAATAAATCAATTATTTAGACGATTCCATTATGGCGTTTAATATTTGAAATAATTCACTATGATCCAACAAGAAATAGTCAACAAGAAAGCATTAATAAATTTGATCAAACATCAAAAGGTACAATTATGTTCAGATTCGATGCATCACTTATGAATTAGTCTTCAAATATCTCGAAGAGTTTCTAGTATACTAAAGATCTTTATTCATACACATGAGGCATTACTTGAGTGACTGCTAAACAAAATCAGAAGGATTTATTGTTCGACTAGAGTGTGTATGTCCTAAAGCCGACTGAATTAAGGATCGAGTTCTAGTGGGGCTACATTTTTTTCGATCCGGGTGATTCTAGTCTCACATTTAAAATGGTCCCTCAATACTAGCATTTTTGTTTTATTTCTTCACTGTGCTCGAAGGTACGCGAGTCTTCCTTCTGACGGGACTAATGTCCATTTCAAAGTAAAAGAAGAGTGATTGTTTTTTAAATAACTTTCGAACAGTGATAGCTATCGATCTGCGGTTTTCACCATTGGACAGAGAAATGTTGGGGCCAGATTTCACTGCAAAAATTTGATTGGTTCACATTGGACCACTTAAATGAAATCTCAACGGACATTTTGTAAACAATATTTTGAACGCAATTCTGATACTGTTATGGATTTTACCATGACAATTCGGTAGAAAAAAGTGTTCTCCGTCGATCTAGACAAGACCCAACTTTTTATCACACTTACTTGAGGAGTTAAACGGGTTTTATTGAGGCCCCTGATTTCGGCCAATTCACGAAAAATCGTTCGGAAAACGATCTTGGAAGGCGTAATTCATCACACTGAGTTTAGTAGAAATGTTTATTTTTTGATCCGAAATAAATTAACGATATAATTTTAATATTCTTAAAATTATGCCTCCAGTCGGTAGATGGCGCTAGAATGTGAAATTTGAAGAATATTATAATTATATCGTTAATTTATTTCGGATCGAAAAATAAACATTTCTACTAAACTCAGCGTGGTAAATTACGCCTTCCAAGATCATTCTTACTTGACTTGGCCGAAGTCGGGGGCCTCAGTAAAACCCGTTTAACTCCTCAAGTAAGTGTGATAGAAAGTTGGGCCTTGTCTAGATCGACGGAGACCACTTTTTTCTACCGAATTGTCATGGTAAAATCCATAACAGTATCAGAATTGCGTTCAAAATATTGTTTACAAAATGTCCGTTGAGATTTCATTTAAGTGGTCCAATGTGAACCAATCAAATTTTTGCAGTGAAATCTGGCCCCAAAATTTCTCTGTCCAATGGTGAAAACCGCAGATCGATAGCTATCACTGTTCGAAAGTTATTTAAAAAACAATCACCCTTGTGTTAATTTGCAATGGACGTTAGTTTACCCCAGCAGAGCAAAGTTCACGTACGCTCTATTTTTTGAGAATACACTTTGTATTCTTTTGAAGTACACTCTGAAAATAAAATTTTTGGCTTAGCAGGATGTACGCGTACAGTGTGCTTCGAAATCTTATTAAAAATACTGGTTTACCGATCTCGATACTATTGTTATGCATACTAATTTTGTCGCTATTGAAAACAGAGAGCTGTAAAGTATGTTTAAGTTAACTGTATTCTTTTTGTTTTTTACTTAGATGTATTGGTCGAAATGATAAAAAGTAATCTATTTACATGTGGTTATACTTATGAATATTTTTTAACGCTTGATAATAAAATGGAACAAGGTAGTCAACAATTATTGATTTGTCTCGGTTGGCTTATTTATCAAAGTAAATTAATTGAGAAAAGCATGGAAAAATGCTTAAATTCAGATTCTATAATTGATTACGATGATACAAGTTCACTTTATCAAGTAATTATATTGCATTGATTTCATCTTTCGGTAAATTACATGATTTTGTATTAGAGCAATAAAATTGAACGTACAAAATCTTCTCCATTGGAAAAAGATCTTGTTGGGCAAGTTAAACAAGCCATGCGCGTGAATTCTAAATTACGTTTCAGTTTACGTCGTCTTCATGGGCTCGTTATTGAAAATACTAATTTACAACATCAAGTAAAGTCTAGTCTATTTCGTGTTTGTCTACATTTAAAAATTGATTCATATTTTAGATACATGGATTTCATAATATGTCATCATTTGAAGCACATCTATGTCAACATCCTCATCTTTTATCACATGTAAATTGATTTGGTTTTTGATTAACTGAAAATTTCATTTATTTATTTTCTTAAGTATATGATTGAACTTGAGAATGAAAATCGTAAATTAAATTTATTTCTATTCTGGAATGAACATCAAGATGTATTTTGGAAATGGATGGTCAGTTAAATGAATGATTCATTTTTCTATTATTAAAAAATTGAACTTTTATAGGAGAGTGTACTCGATCAAGAAACAACAGTAGAAGAAGGTGAAGAGGAAATTGATGATAAATATGAACCATTGCGCCAAGTTGATCGTCAACGATTAGAAGCTGAAAAACAAAAATTCAATGCAGCTATTGATACTCTTGATGGTGCACTTGTACGACTCGAACAATTATGGATATCAAATGTGAGTAATATTTCTATGTTGCAAAACCAGAAGTTGAGAGATCGAGTAGATTTCACTATTTTCCTCATCCACACCGAAGGGTTCAGCGGCGAAAGTTTTTTATTCAGAGAAGTTTTTATCCTCAAGAATTCTCTTGATTTTGGGTGCGAATCGACCTAGGTAATCGCAGGATTATACAGTTATGTAAAACTAGTTTCGGGACTAAAACAAATGCAGTCTCACACATATACACCTGGGATCGATTGCTTTCATTACCACCATTTCTTCCGATCTGATTATGTTATTATCTTATTTAGAATAATCATGCATCCATTGAACGCGATGTATCATCTGTAGTCTCGTCGATTGATAGTCAAGTATCATCACTATTCAATCAATTACTTTCGACAAATCCTTCATTATCAAAACATTCTAATGTTGATCTCTCTCTTTTTCTTCATCAACCGCAACGTCTTGTTTATAGTAAAAAACCTGATTCTAATGATAATAGTAATTCTATCAAACCAACCGATTTTGAACATGAAACAACACGCATGAACAAATTACAAGCAAACATTGATCAACATGTTGATAAGCAAAGAAAAATACTCGATACACTATCGCAAAAATTTGAAAATGTTATGATAGTCTAATATATTTTTAGAGAAAAATATTTACACATGAAAATAAAATACAATAATGAATAGTTCGATATGAATGTCTTTGATTTTAGATTGATAAGAAAACTAGAAGAGAAAGCATAAGATGGCTGAAAAATTAACTGATTTTGCTAGTCGATTATCAAGCGGAGTACCAAAAGGTTTAGGTCTAGGTGTTAAACTACTCGTTGGAGCATCAGCAGCTGTTTATGGTGTCTATCGGTCTATGTTTACTGGTAATATAAAATGAACTTAACAAGTAGACATAATTCAATAATGTTCTTTTCTCATTTTGTAGTTGAAGGTGGCCATCGTGCAATTATTTTCAATCGTATAGGTGGTGTCGATCTAAATACAATTCATTCCGAAGGATTACATTTTAGGTAAATGATGTTTTATGATTGAAAACGTAAACAAATGAGTCCTCAAGAGAAGAAGTGCAGATCTTGAATACCCACCACCTTTCGGTACTTCAAGAAAGCTACACTACTCTAAGGGGTGCCTGGACAGTGCTCACGTTGATAGATGCTGAAGTGTTGGGAATTTCGAATCTTTACTTTCCCCCTGTTCACTATCACTTAAATTGTGTAAATAGCGTAGTAGAAAAAAAGAATTTTAATGCTTCTCTCGTTCACTGTAATTGTTCAAAATTTAAGAATAACATCGAATATTTTCATCTAGAGTTCCATGGTTTCAATATCCAATTTTATATGATATTCGTGCTCGGCCACGTATTATTAAATCACCAACTGGCAGCAAAGGTCTCGAAGATTTTGTTTCTTCATTCATTTCTAACCTTTCTTTTTCTTCTTCTGATTTATAGACTTGCAAATGGTTACAATTGGTGTGTTTGTCTTTTGGATTATCTTCACTTTAAAATAAATTCGTGTTCTTTGTTTCTTTAGCTCTTCGAGTTTTAGCTCGACCAGATCAATCAAAATTACCAAAATTATATCAATCATTAGGTTTAGACTGGGACGAACGTGTATTACCATCAATATGTAATGAAGTATTGAAAGGTGTCGTTGCTAAATTTAATGCATCTCAATTGATAACACAACGACAACAAGTATCGAATTTAATTCGTCTTGATCTTATTGAACGCGCTAAAGATTTCGATATATTACTTGATGATGTGTCCATCACTGAACTTAGTTTTAGTCCACAATATTCAGCTGCTGTTGAAGCTAAACAAGTTGCTCAACAAGAAGCGCAACGAGCAGTATTTACTGTTGAACAAGCTAAACAGGAGCGACAACAAAAGATTGTCTTAGCTGAGGGTGACGCTGAATCCGCTAAACTTGTAAATAGGATTCAATTGATAACATTCATTCAAAAAAATGTATTTCATATTTTAGATTGGAAATGCTATCAGTAAAAATCCCGGTTATTTAAAATTACGTAGGATTCGCGCTGCACAAACGATAGCAAAAACGGTGCGTTAAATTGACTCTTTTTTGTTGTTTTCTATTTATTCATTCTTTTTTTTCATATTTAGCTTTCACTCAGTTCAAATCGTGCATTTCTTGATGCTCAAGCCTTGATGATCAATATTGCCGATCCAAGATTCGATGATATTGCCAACATCGATCGAAAACGTCGATAGTTTTTCTGTGTTTTTTTCTATTTGTTGTTGTTTTTTCCCTTTTGCTTCAAGCAATGAACGACTTCATCTTTGATTGGTTTTCTCAACAAAAAAGATATTTCTATGCCATTTGATACATATTAGTACGTGTTTTTCATCTATCGTTAATATGTAGATATGAAACATAGAGCGGCTCGTCGACGAACATTTCCACAAGTCCGCGAAACTATCAATGTTATGACGAGTAAAGCAGTGCCTCATCACAAAGTAAATTGAACAAAATAAAAAAGACGACGATTCATTGGATGTTACTTTCTATTAGATCAATCGATCATATCGACCATCATCATTGCAAGAACAAAACATGGAAAAACAACAAAAAAGATTTGACAGTAAGATAAATACTTAATCTAGATTCTTTAATTTATTATTATTATTATTATTATTATTATCTAGCTGTGAATCAAATGTTAGAAAAAGTATCCAGGTAGAAAATTGAGTCTCCTCAATCAATAGATTTATGGTAGTTATATTATCAATTATATTTAGTAAGCCAGTGAATACAAATTTAAATCAAAATAACAGTAATATTTCAACTCAAAATGGTATTGATGAAGATGTCGATGAATCTGAAGGTAATATTAGATATTTATTTTGATTTCATAGGAAAAAACAAGAGAATAAGTGCAACACGAGGAACATTAAAATACAAACTATCTGCTGTTAAACTAAGTTCGGGTAGGGAATGCTACCTATTGACATAGTTAATAGTTCGATGTTTTCCTATTAACATCTATGACTTAACTCTGAGAAGACAGCCAGTCTAGTTCTTCTCATATGTATTAACTAACTAACTACAAGATAAAAACAGTGGTGCCGTTGCATCCAGTAGATTTCATTTTCCGGATGGGCAGGATAAATTTTTGAAGGAACTGCTTGCTGAAACGAACTCTCTTTGTATAGCCTCTTTATGAAATCAACTGTATCTATTCGAGTGGGTAGCGGCCATCCGGCCCATACAACAGATAAATGCATCGCGTTTCGACAAGCAATGCACTAAGCAAACGCTATTTTTATCCATCATAAAATCTATGAAGTGTATCACTGCTGGAGAAGTGTTTTTTTAATATTTTGTTGCAACTGCGACAATTTAAAATATCTGTAGGCATGTCACAGCAGCCAAACTCTTGGTCCAGATGGTTATATTTCCCGAGTCTTTTTGCTGATATTCCTCGGCGTTGTATTTCATCGATTATGACAAAGAAAACAGCGCTCTTTAAAAATTCACTATTAAGAACAGCAAAAAGAGCGCTATATTCTCTAAGATTTCCGTTATTATCCAGCAATACTGGTCTTGGTAAGCATGTTGTAGTGCTAGCATCCGCTTTCGTGAAGAAGTATGAATGAGACGAATGACAACCGTATTGTTTTGATTGTATTGGCTTATATATTTAACTAACAACAAGTAGAATATTAGCCATTAGATTACTATAAGACATCTATGTTTTTGTTTTAGTGTCCATCGTTGGATATCTCAAGGCGAAACCAATTAAATTTCAAACGTATGCTATGTTAAAGTCATTTGGTTTTTTCCTAAAAACGATTTCTTCTATTTATATAGACTTGATGAATTACTTAAAAATTTTCCATCTGTGCGTGCAGCACTTTATAAAAAGTACTTATTTCTTAATCATTTTGTTTTGTAAATGTTTAACATTTACGTTAAAATTTTTAGACGAACTGCTACATCAGCAGCTACATCAACTGAAGTACGATTGATTGTTTTTTTCTTAAATAAATCGAGTTTTCTCTGTTTTTTTTTATAGACTATTACTTCACATTTATCATCCTTACAAATAACTTCACAATCAACACTATCTCCTATTCAATCAACGAAATCAGCTTGGCGTACACGTCGAACATATGGTATATTTACTTTGAATGAAAACAATATATTCTATGACAATTTAATATTGTATTTAGCATTAATTGGCAATGAACTTTCTCTTGTTCAATCCATATTGGTCGGTGATGAAAATGAATCCTTCGGATCTATTGGGGATCAACCTATAACTCGTAAAGATATTCGCACGCTTCGTGGTCTTACATGGCTTAATGATGAAGTAAGTGAAACATTATTTACTTTTTTTTTCAATATAAAATAAATTTTTATACTTTGAAAAGGTTGTCAATTTTTATTTGGCACTCGTGGCACGTGAAAGTGGTACACCAGGAAATTTACGTGTATATGCATTTAGTACATTCTTCTGTTCAAAATTAACTAAAGACGGCCCAACGCACACAAGTTGGGATCGATGGATGCGACGAGCAAATATAACACTCTTTGATTATGATCTTATTCTTATACCTATTCATCAAGGCAATCATTGGGCATTAACAGTAAAATGAAAAACAAAAAAAAAAAGAATTATTTTCTATATTGAAATTAAACATCTTTTACTTCTTCTTCTTCTTCTAGACGATTGATTTTCGTTCACGTTGTATTGGATATTATGATTCATTGGGTAGCACAGATGATATGTGTTTAGGTCGAATCTATGCTTTTGTTGAACATATGTATGCAACAAAACGACAGATTTCTCCAATGCCTGACGGATGGCGTGTACAAGCAATGCATATGATACCCGAGCAAGCAAACGGTAGTGATTGTGGAGTATTTGCATGTCAATTTGGAAAATATTTGGCACGTGAATGGCCATTAGATTTTACTCAAGCACAAATGCCACAATTTCGTTTACAGATGATTTATGAAATTTATACAAAACAACTTATTGTTTAAAATAAAAGATAATACATAAATGTTTTTTTTTCCATTCTCTTTTCTTTCTCTGTTGTGTACAAATTGTATTATTTGATTTATATTAGCAAGAGACAAACAAAAATATATGTAACAGAATAAAATTCTAATCGAGATGTTTATGAAAATAATTGTTAAATAAATCTTTCGTTTTTTTGGTTCATGTGCTCAAATTGGCGCTGTATCTCATAATGGCAAAGAAACTTTGCTTATCGAAATCTTTTTCTCTCAAATCGATTATATGATTTTAAGCAAAATAATATAAAACTTAGAGACTAACAAAAAACTAATGGACTTATTAATTAAGAATATTTTAACGTAGTAGTTTTCTTATAGAAAATACTTGACTGACGTAAAGCTCTGCAGATAGGATTCCCTCAGGCGTCAGTCGAGTTCTAGGCTGACGACTTCACCTTTTGCTCATGTTATAATTCAACATAAATGACGCCTGTAATGGCAGAATACACGTATTGCAGCTAAAAAAATTGCGAGCTTTTATCTCTTTTTTTGGAGAACGCTCAATTAACCCAAGTATATAAATCGTAACTTAGAAATATGAAAATTAAACCTTTTGTTGAATAAAAAAAGATCTCAAATTCATGTCTTCCATAGATTTGTATTTTTTTTATTGCAATTATCTTCGTTGTATTTTGTTTTATAAAAGTTGAGTTATGCTTTTTTTTTATGTTTCTCCGGCCGAGAAAAATCTCAAACGAAGAAACTTTTCATCGTTGTATCCGAATGATGTTTCATTTTGCATTCTTTCAAATAATTGACATCGAGTTTATTTGCTTAAGCCAACCCATGTTTTTTTACAAACGATTTGACAAAAATAATAGTTTGGTATAATTATATGAAGACAAGAAACAAAATATTGTCATAACATCGGCTTATTTTCAAATGAATCAACTGTAATAAACAATTAAATTTTAATAATAGATCGTCTGCTCATGTTCATTTGAAACAAGTTTCCCATTGAACAATTTTTAATTCTTGCAAATATTTCTGTTCAGCACCTGCATTCAAAGCTTCATTTATCATTTCATCAGTTGCTTGTTTACGATCTGCGGCCGAATCAAAGTGAGTACGTGGAAGAAAATTCACACCGGTAAATACTCGTTTACCTAATTGATCAATTTTACATTGATATTGAATAGTTCGATCATAGGAATCATTTTTAATTACACTTCTTCTGTAATAAACTTTGCAAAAACGCAATCAATTATCGTATGGAATCATTTTTATTCGTGAAATGAATTTTCTTACTTACAGTATTATAAAAATTGCACGTGAAAACCTGTTTCCGGCATAAAAAAAAGGATCATGTTTGTCATTAACTGTTCCATCCATATGTTTTGTATAATTTCTTCTACGCCAAGCCGTTTCATATGGGCAACTAGTTATGAAATCATCGGTATAGAAATTCGTGTCTGCTGGCAAAAGAGTTCAATTTAAATGAGTACATCCGCATGCTTTAGAAAATTGTGTGTAACCATAAAAAGCTAATTCATACCAAATACCTTGATAGATATTAGGATTAAACTCAGCAAGATACGGTGAACGTTTTAGAAAAGCATCAACTGTTGGGCATGGTTCGTCACAGTAACTCATTGATATCAATAATGCCACCAACAAGCAATAAAAAGAAAATATAAGACGAAAACATAAAGGTATAAGTAACGGATTTTGTTCTTTTTAGTGTGACAATGAAAGATAATAAGTCTTCAAACCATCTTCTATCTCGGTTCTTTCATTTTCTGTCTACGATTTACTTGAGATAAGGACTTCTTGAAATCTTAATTTGTGTCAAAGGAACTTGAGATAAAACATAGAATTTACCGAAACTAGAAAATCATAGAAGTGATAAAAGTAGACAATTTCGTTCATCATAATTCTTATAACAAGAAAAGCTTCTAACTTGAGATCAAGTGTGATGTCAAATTTCTTACAAAACGAAGAAAAAAGAAAAATCAAGACATGTATTAAAAATCACTTAGATATCTTAAGCATTTGCAAGTCTTTTCACCTTCGCTCAAGCACTTCAAATGCGCTCTATTTTAATTGCGTCTATAATTGCTTAACAACATCTATCAATTGCATATCATTATCATATAATAAAATAATATATAGATCTATATAAAATATCATCATCTACGAAAGTTTTTTCGTTTTTTGATTGAAATAATCGTATATACTCATGCAATTTTGCTATTAGTTATGGCTCAAACGATTGATAGACGCTTATGTTTTAGTTGTCACTATTTTTACGTCCATCAGTTGGCTGAGGTCATATAAAAGTGTGCAAAGAAAAAGCATAAAAGATTCGCCTGAAGTTGTTTAACACGTGCACGCACACACACACACACACACACACACCGGATGATTGATCAATTCTGCTTGACGCGGATGAATCCACTGTTCTCTGTCATTATATCAAATCTTTTCCTTTCATTCAACTGTATGTTGACATAATCGACACTGACTTTCGTTTCACATTTCTGTTCATAAGAGTGTATCGTGTATAAAGAATAACAAATCTTATTGTCCTCGCTCTTATTTACCTTCTTCTCAATCTTCTTACGAACCCATCGCTGTCGACGTCTTTATTGTCATTTGCTATGTAAAAGAGAGACAGAGAGAAAGAAAGACGAGCACGATACAAAAAGACTCCATTAGTATTTAGACTATTGTTTTTTTTTTCGTTTATTTCTTTTTTTTTATTTCGATTTTGCGACAAGAAAATGTTCGTGCTTCACATATATATATATATATATATACTTTAAGTCAATCGCATCAATCGTTGAGTGAAGAAGAAGAAGACAAAGAAGAACAAAAGATCATTGAAACAACAAGTCGAGTATCTTTGTTTGGTTCTTTCTAATGGATCCATAGGCAACAAAAACAAGCATTTTCAAGGTAGTAATAATCGATTTTTTGTTTTAATGGGTTGTATCTATAAAAATCCTTACCCGACGTTTTTTACATTACAAAAAAAAAGAAAAGAAAATTGCGGTTACATGTAAGCAAGTACTTTTCTTTTTGTAAAATCTTACAAGAAAAAATTTCACTGTTAATTTTAAAATAACTAAAAATTTAGTTCTACTAAGCATCGAGTTACATAGCGAATAGTTTGATTTCTGAGGAATTTTTCCATATAGATTGTCTACTTAGACAGGTGGTTTGTTAGATTCTTTCGATTTTCTATTAAGAAAAATTCTCTCATAGAAGAAAAAAATGTATTTAAATTAAAAATTATGAACACCATGAAAAGAGTCCGAACAATTAAGTTATTGCTGAGAACGTAATGGATTTTTACGGTACTTTTGAACTCAATGCCGAGGCCACCCTCAGGTAACTCAATTTTTTGTATTTCAATTTTAAATTTTACATAGAGACAAAAATCATATTGTTTATAAATGTCTCAAATCTTTTGATTTATTTCTATACTACGATAAAAAGTAAAATGTTGCGCCTGCATATTTCAGAAATCTCCGGAGAGAAATAGTAAAAAGATTCGAAAATGAGTTCTGCTAATGTTCGAATCTTGATATTGAATTACGAAATACCGTAAAATCGACGTTGTTCGCAGTAATAAGGTCAAGGTACGAAATCTTTTTTACGGTATTTCATGGTTTATTAGTATTTACAATAAGAACATGTTCTCAATTCTTCATTGATTAATCAATTGAAGGACTTTCTTTCGTAGAGTAGTTTCTTTAGTCTATTTCCACCGTAACATTTGATAAGCATCTGTACAAAAGATGAGTTGTAAGATACTACTGAACTCATGATTAATGTTCACGGTTTACGGCAAGAAGATCGCCATCTATCGTGTTCGGTAGAGTTATAAAATTCTTCATTGATTGATATCGAAATGTGTATAGGAAGAGAAGAGAAGAGAAGAGAAAAGAATAGGGTAAATGTGAGACCCCTAGTGATATATTTAATGGTTGGTTGATATGATGAGACAATGGTCACAGTGAAAACTGCGCTATGAGTCGTTTGCATTCAGTTTAATTAATTAAAAGTCTTGCTCTTTCTTTTTGAATTCGAATACTAACACAAGATATTGGTTTATTGAATTATTTCTTCAGATGTTTTCATCTTACGTTTATTTATTAATTAAATCTTTGTTTTATTGGCGATGAACAATCATACAGATGAAACATTAAAAAAAGTTGTTGTCTCTCAGCCATCATCGAGAAAATCTCGTTCAATAAGTCGTTATTTTCTTGGAAATAAACGTTCAAGTATTGATGGCACAACACAAGACAATATATTTCGTTGTCTAGTATCAGTTGGTATATTTGATTCTTATGATTTATGGACTAATGTTACTTTATTTCGTGATTATACAACATGCCGACGTTTATTTATATTAACAACTAAAAATGAATTAATTATTGGTAAATACAATCAACGACAATCAATATTTAAAATAAAACATCGTATCGATTTAAATCGCGTATGGTTATATGCAAATATAAATGATAGTATAGCATCTGAAATAACATCATTAAATTATTATGATCATAGTCGTTCATTAATTATTGGTTGGCCATTAGCAGAAAATTTCATTGTAGAATTTGATACAAAATCTATTCGAGAAATTTGGAAACAACGTATTGAATCGTAAGTTTTACTAAAGGATTAATTAAGAATATTATTTTCTTTGAAAAATATATCAAACATTGCCTTAAAAAGTGAATCATATGACTTTTAAATGAAAATTAATTGTCTGTAATCTGTATGCTTAGTATTGGAGTTATTCACTAGTCATATTCAAAGTCTTGTGACACACTTTTTTCATTGAGATTTAAATACAAAGTCAATATTTTTCGGAATTTCAATGAGTAATGTTAATGTCTGCGAATAGTATTTCTTAATCATATAGAATATTTACTTTAGCTAAGTAACAAAATTCACAAAAATATTTGTTAAATTGAAGCATATGCGAGTCTGCTCGATCTGTGAAACCACTTGATCAAAACTAATATTAATATATCAAACTCTTTCAACAAATCGATTTTTTGACAGAAATTTCTTTTCAGGATGAAGGCGGGGGAACATCTATTTTTGTATGTACAAGTAGCGCACGCAGTGATTTTCGATAAGTGTATAAATTTGAAAACATATCGAGCCACGCCTTAGATTTTCTTCTATTTCATGATGAAGGTTATGTATCGGATTTATTTAGAACTCTCCGCAGTTGGTGGCAATTAAATGATTCAAACATCGAACATGTACGTATCGTAATCGATCAAAACTATGAATCAGATCAAAATAATAATACCGCATCATTTCTTATTGTAAGTTTTGAGTAAAAAACACAACAACTTTTATTTTCGAATTGGAATTCTTTCTTTTTTGCAAAGCGTAAAGTGGTTGGAATTCGACCACAAGAAACCGTTCATGACCTGATAAAAAAGTGTATCGAAGCGTTTCATCTTCAAGTATGCTGATATATTGCTCATAGTATTGTTATTTTCTTTTTTTTTCAAAAGGATCCTTCCGTGGATAGTTATGTCCTGTTCGCCACCAACAATCAATCCAATCCAACAGTTCATACGAATCCGAATTCTTCCTCACAATCAACTCAAATTACAAATATACCATTAATCGGTTAGTTTATGCCCCCTCCCCCAAAAAAAAGAAAATAAGAAAAAAAACGAAAGTAAAATGAGAAACTTCATTCCAAAGGTGTATTTATATATAAGTTCTCGCTTGTCGCATTTTCTTTTTCTTTTCTCTTCCATTTTTCTCTCTTGTCGAATTACAAGAGTACTTAAGATATATATACGTAACCAGGAGTCTTCGATTCATTTGTGTACAAACCAACATTAGTGCAAAGTTGATATTATTATTATTCTTCTTTTCTCTATTCTTGAAAACAATCCTAATCGTAATGACTGGCAATGAACGTTCGTACAAGTCTGATCGATATCATAAGACATTTTTCTCTCGATTTCGTAATGTAACAAAGCGTTCGAAAAGTCTTGATAATTTATACGATCAAAACCATCGTAAAGAAGGTAAAACAGAAAGAATAAAGAAATGTAACAAATATTTTATTCGTTATTTAAATAAGAGATTGTCCTTCAATAGATATTAACCTACAGAAAAAGATGAGAACACCTACATTTGACATTTCTTATAGAATTAGTGAACAAAAAAGAAACAACGTATCGATGATCATCATATGAATATGCTAATCAAGCACGAGAAATCAATGTCACTAAGAGTTTCATTAGGCCATAAAAAAAATAGAGACATGCAATTATTTATCGAACCCTTCTTAATAAAAAACGAGTCTATAGATAAAACTGATTGGTTAACATGTAAAAGAACTGATCATATACGAACATGAGTGTAACATACGTATGAACTTGTGTCTATATATGCCGAAATGATTCAATAAATAAATATTCATTTATTCTTAGGTCATGAATATCCTTATTCCATAAAAATGAAACATTTAAAATATGCTCATGCAACATTTTCAAATAACCGTTCATTTGATGGTGATGACCATTTATCATGTCAAACTCATCATACGAGCTCATCGACGAGTTTAAATAATGTAACAATAACAAGTTGTCATGATTTTGAATTAAGGAAACGTGATACGTTATCTGGTTAGTCAATTTATTAGAATAAAAAATAAATCGAAAGTAAAAGCTTTTGGTTATTAATAGAAAATCAAACAAGAAAACATCGTTTTTTTCATAAACGAAAAACGAAAACACAACAACAATTAAATGATGACTATCATTCGCCATCAACACCATATCTTAGTTCACCAAATCAAACAAAAATTTATTTTAATTTTTTTGGTCGAACACCTGATGAACTTATTCAAAGATATAATCATCAATTACCACCGGTGATCATGGTAAAAATAAGCCTTTTTCAAAACTTTTGTTTCATTTGTCTTCTTTAGCAACTACTGGAAGTTCTCTATTTAAAAGGACCAGATACAACGGGTATTTTTCGTAAAGTTGCCAATGCAAGATCGGTCAAAGATTGTATTGAAAAAATCGAACGAAATATTCCATTACAAGATGATGATTTACATCCAATATTGGCTGCTGGACTATTAAAAGTAAGTTACTGCTTTCTTTTCTTGTTTTTTAAACTAATTCAATTAACTATAAGAAATAACAACAGGTATATTTCTATTAGGCAAATAGAAGGTAGGCAGAAAAAGTACACCAAATTGATTTACACTTATTCCTGCATGTTTGGCCGAGTGTTCCCTGCTTCATATTATTATCCTTGATTTTATTTTTAGCATTTTCTACGCACCCTACCTGAGCCATTATTTAATTCGATTCAGTATGATAATTGGAAAAAATGCCTTCGACTTTCAACATCAATAGAAAAGGTTTCATTTGCAAGAAAAAAGTAACATTATATAATAAGAAAAAAAGAAAAATGTTTTTCTATTAATTTATTCATTTTATTTTTCTAGTATATTAATTACTCTGTCCGAAGCGAATCATATTCTGTTGAAAGGATTTATATGCATTCTTCATCGGATATCTCAAAATGCTGATACCAATGGAATGAATCCATTTAATTTGGGTTTATGCGTATCAAATAGTCTATTTAAAACAGAATCAACAACAATAACATCTGGCAAACAAGAAGCTGATGTTATGTCATCAATCGTTGAATTTCTAATACAAAATTGTTCATCTCTGTTCGGTTCAGATATTCTCACATGTATAACAGATAAACGTATTAATGTTCATCAAATGTCAAACATAAGTATGACAATATAAATTTAATTTTGTAGTCATTTCAAGAGAGAAAACAATCTTCACTTTTGTTTAGCTCGCCCAGCAGCTTCATCGATTGAAAGTCTTGATGAAGTCGAATCGTCTCCGCATTTACCAATCGTTAATCGATCACATGACTCTGGTTTAGCTGCATCCGATCAGCCATTCAATGATGATAGTTCAGAAATTAGTGAACATTTTCGACGTAATATAATACCTGTAGTCGCACCCATACCCGATTGGTCATCATCAATAGTTTGTGGTAAAGGTATTGTTCTAACAAGTATTATTACCAACAATACGAATTCATCGGTGACAACATTATCTATAACACGACGTCGTAGTTCAAAAAATACTTATAAACCATCGAAACAATTTTTAGAACGAGAAAAACTAACCAATAATACAACAGATGATTCAGATAATAATTCAAGTAAACACTCATCAGCAACTACAATACATAATATAACCATAGGAAAAATAAAGCGTTCAAAATCTTTATCACGACATTCATCATTAGGTAGTGGTGAACAAAAACAAACACAAAAATACTCAACAAAAGAATCTCGACGTTTGACAAGCAATAATGTTAAACGAACATCATCATTAAAACAATTTCATCATTCATCCGATGAAGCTGGTGATGATGATGATGATGAACATAAGAATATATTAGCGAATGAACGACGAACAAAATTAACGAAACCAAAAGCAAATAATAATAAGAAAACTATAAATGATGAATCTATGACAATAAGGTTTGTACAGATTTTTTTTTTGTTTCTAACGGATTGTTCGAGCTAGCGGAGATATCTCTTGTCTAGAAGTGAGCATAAGAATTCTTTTTATTCTGTTCTATATCCCAATCAAGATTTAATGATAGGAAAAAATCATTCTATGAGACTAGCTGCTTTTTCTAGCATTTGAAATTGAATTCTATCATTTCTGTTGAACTGGAAATTTGCAAGCACACTGAAGAATCTGTATGCTAAGCTCTATGGTAAACTGATTGGAGTTTTTTCTTTTAAGTATTGAAGAAGTAGGTCATTGAATATGAGTTTATTAAAATAAATAGATTTTGGTAAACAGTCTATAGAATGATAAAATAAAATTTGAAAAATGCTTCAGGGACATAACTCTCAATAGAATCTTTGTTTGTTTTGGTGGTTTGAGTTTTTATCTAGACATTAATATTTGTTGTATTAAAAAAATGCAACTAGGGCGTAGAAAATTAAAACAAAAACCTTTTAGTGAAGAAAAAACCGTATGATGCAAGTAGAATAAACTCTCGTACATTTAACTTTTACAAACGTATCTGAAGCTTATATTTTTTGATAATAAAATTTCCTATGGTCTTATTTGTTAAGATAGACATTAACTTTCAAAATTGAATATTAATTGTGATAGTAGAGTTTTCTTTTCATGTCGAGATTCTAATCGTCACTATGTGCGTGTTCATCGATCAGTATGATTTAGACAAATGATATTGATGATTTATTACTTTTTTTTAATCAATAGTTTTGTTTGTTTGTTTTGCATGATTCATCCTAAAGCCGATAAAATCACACAATGCATTCGTGCGGTCTATTCTTTTCTCTTGTTTATCTTGCTGAGTGGTTTGAAAAAAAAATAAGAGCTTCAACACTTGAAATGTTTTCTGTGGACGACATTGAAACTTATTCTTATGTATTCATAGCGTTCTTTGTTTTCAAATATAATTTGATTTCGCGATCAATGCGTACAAGTTCAGATGAAAAGTTTAATATTCTCCAGATTGAAGTCCTTGTGGACGTGATTACTGTTTTAATAAATAACATTAGAATGTACTAAGAGATGAAGATTTCGTGAGATCCTATTAGTGGATGTATGAAGCATGCTATGCAAAAAAAAGAAAGAAATGGAAATAAATACGAGCATGATATGAGTGATGGTTTTAGGATACATTTGAAATCATGATCGATAGGATCATGCATGTAATCCAAGTAACATAATAAACAATGGACGTAGCCGATAGGGTACTATAGAGATAGAAGTCCATGAAATAATGAATGATTTTTTTTCTATTGAAAAACAATTTGAGCCTTGTGGCTAAAAATCTTGTGCACTGAAATCAATAGAAATGATCCAACAAGTACTACTAATGATTGACTGAATAAATGAAAAGTTCGTCGCTAAGAATATGTCTAGATGCAATGGTAAATAATAATTAAATTCTGATTTTTCTCTAGATCAACGGCGTCTGAACAACAAGATTTAGATTTAACCAGTGAGCCATTAAGTACAATAAATCAACGTTTGACGTCTTCTATCGCAACTCCAACTCGTTCAGCATCGTTTATATTAACACCAGCGTCGAAAAAATCCGATGTACCTATAACAGAAACAACTCAACCCGTACATTCAAATACACATCAACAACAACAACAACAACCCATTATAGCTGGTAGTCGTTCTCGACATACGGGTCCACTGTCAGCGACAACCAATAAAGTCTATTTAGTACCTCAGCCAGCTCCTCGTTATCAACATCTCGGTCAAACAAATTCCAGCAAAGAAAAGCCGCTTACAACAACAGAACGTGGCCGAACATTTGTACATCGTGCTGATTCACGTCCTTTTGTACTTGGTGCAGCTATACAAATGAAGCCCATTGATGATCTCTTGTCATCCAATGAGAAACGCCGCCCATGTCATCGACAAAATGCTCTTCGTTATAAATCAAATGAACAAGAACGACAATCACGTATATCCGCACCAGTTATAATAAGTTACAATCAACCACCCAATGTGTCACGTTATCAATCGATTGAAAGACGTTTACCATCATCACCACAACAACCGATAAAAACATTTTCATTCGATATCAATAATGAATTTCGTTCGTCTGATATATCATGGTCAGTGCGTGAAAAAGCGAAACTATTTGAACATACGAATCAACATAAACTATCGACGGGTCGTGAAAATTATGTGTAATCTGGGTTTTCCTTCATCCTCTTGTGTTCATGTTGAATTCGACAACCGGTGATGTGTGATACTTTCGAGTTTTCTCTATCATTTATTGTTTCTAAAGCGGTACTATGACAATTGATCAAATCTTTTTCTTTTTGTCTATTCGATCATTCTTCTTTATTTCATATACTCAGATGTTCGAGTTCAGCGGCAAGTTTTCTCGTTTTTTTTCTTTTTCTGTATATATGATATATATATATATATATATATATAAATATATGTTGTGAGTTTTTATTATTTCCTTCCATTCCTTTCTCTCTAATCTTTGTTGCAGTTTTTGAACATTAGCACAAAGATTTATCTTCTCTTTCTTATTTGGATGATCAATTCATATATGTGTACTTATTATTTCTTTATCTTTTTCTTTTCTTGTGAAGCTTATTTAAAAGAAAGCTCAATGTGTTTTTTTTCTCGTTATAATGAAAAAAAGAGAGAGAGAGAGAGAGAGACTATAGCAAGCAACGAAAATGCAATTTTTTTCTTCAATGAATTCAACAAATAAAATATTGTGACGAAAATCTTGAAAAAAGAAGTTTTAGAGAAATATGTTTGTCTTCGTTGAGTTGTTATGTTTGAACAACCTTCACGAAGCTTTGCTTGCCTAAATAGTCTCATCAGTCTTATACGTGACTGAAGAATAAATAAGTCGAGACAAAATGATTCCGGCATTTATTTATAGACGACTTTTATATTACATGACTCGAACAATGTACTCTTTGAAAAGCCACTTCACACAAGACAATGGTGATATAGGCTTTCAGCATCAATGAACTAAATAGATTTCAGTTCATGTATAAAAAAAAGAGAGAGAAAGGATTATTTAACATTGATCGAGATTTGTCATTTTTCTAGACGATAATTCTATAAAATTAGCTTTTCTAATAGAACTTATTTATATATATATATATATATGACTGATAATTTATAATACGTGAATACATCTATGAGGAATTTTTAAGAAATATCACGGTTACAAATCTGATATATAAAGATTACAATTTCGACGATATGTAATGATAACATAAAAATGTTAAAAACTACTAGAACAAGGAATGAAAAATTTAAAGTAAATTATAATCATCATCAAGAGATTTTCTAATCCTATCATTTGGCACTACTACGTGTGTTGTTGTTGCAGTTTTAGCTAAAGAAAAAAAAACAAAATGAGCGCGCGTCTATTTTTTGATTAGTTGATAATAATAATAAAAAAAGAAGACTTACAGGAATTTAGCATAGTTGCATAAGTTTTTCTTGAATGATTTGTTAAGGGTACTGACGGAGGAGCACAACGACGACAAATAAGATACGCCATGAAAAGAATAAATACAGCTAATATAATTAGTAAAAATGCCGCGATTAAAATACCACGCCAATGCTGGCGTTTAGATGTCGATGCACGATTATTAGCATCTAAATTTCCACTATTTAAGAATTCTGCAAGACCAGAATTATTGTATTTATATAATTTAATTGGATATCAAACTCACTTGAAGTACAAGAACGATCAGGTAATTCATCTGATCCATCTGAACAATGAGGAACGCCTATATAAATTAAAACAATAGCATAATAGAATACAATAGAATTAAACAAATATACCGTCACATATAAGTAAGCTACTAATACATTCTCCACTTTGACATAGAAATTCTTCATTATTGGAATCGCATGGATGTGTTTTATCCGCTATAAAATGCAATAGACGATGATTTTACACGAAGTCTCTCATTAATTTCGTTTAACTTACGAGTACGAAAAGAAGTAAGTACAACTTTAAAACCAAGACCACTTACATTTCCACCATCGGTCCTATTTAGAAAAAAATTAATTTTATAATATTTATCTTATAAATTAAAATTATACTAACATAAAATGAGCAGTCACAATGCCTGTTGGTGAAATGACATCAAATGCTTCTTTTTCTGTTAATTGTCCACATTCAACTGTATTCTAAAATTAATATATAGAAGCAAAAAATAGGCATAACGAAAAATAAAAAAAGAAGATGTCCAAAATACAAGTTTCTCTTGTTTTGTTAAGTAGACTGATTTATAAAAACGAAGTGAATCGAGACAATTTACACCATTATGTATATCATTGAGATCCAATGATAAAATGCGAATACGCATTTGATTGTCGATTTGACGAGCCTAAAAGAAACAATTTATCACTTAAATATTTATAACAGTCATAAAATCAAACTTTAAATGTCATATAACAATCTTCATATGGTAAATATGTTTGACGTTTAGAATACGGATAAGACTTGAGAAGAGCTCCTTCAATTCGATATCCATCTCCACAAACATTTGAACGTTTGATGCCATCGACTAATGCTGAAGTCATGACATCTATTGAATAAAAAGCGCAAAATTTTATCTGATAGAATATGCGTCTTTTCTATTACATTCATCAGCTCGTCGCAATGGATTATTATTATCTTCACCGGCAAACGATGATACTAATGTTGCATTTGTGATGCTAGTAGATACACAGAAGACCAACACCAACAATGACAAAGCATCACACGCGATGTATTGCGAATAGATAATCATTCACTTGATAAACAAAATGAGCATTATGATTGTAATCAATACATATGTTGAACATATCTAAGAAAAATTCATGTTCACATAGATTCTATCAATAATGATATGTTACAAGTGAAAGTTAATGTGTATTGCGAATGTGACATTTAGCTTATGAATAACAATAATAATGTAGCCATGTTCAGTACACGTAGCTAATCCTCGAATGAACAATAAAAATTCTTCTTCGTTGAGCAGAGATGTCGTTGTTCATCACAAATAGAACGACAGAAAACACAATAGTTAACACTATATAGTAGATCCAACAGCCATAATTTTTTGTTAGAGAAAAAACATGTCTTCAGTGTATTTTCTGTCGGCAATCGTTCGTGATCTAGTCGCTTTTATATTATAAATAAATGAGGAAACATCGGATTCGTATCCGATTGTTATGTGTACTGCAAAAGCTGAGTCGATTTATATATGTTTTGAATAATTCTGAGAAAAAAAATTTGTTTTTGAAAAAATCCCTGTACCCCCCCTCAGGGATGGTCTGGTTAATAATGACAACTTTTTCGATAACTCAGCCATTTCTTCACAGATTGCTTTCATCTTCGAACTCGACTGAGATATTGATGAGATCATTCTGTGTACAAAATTTCATGACAATTGGATGAGGCTTTCAAAAGTTATCGTGTTAACGGCCGGCCGGACACACTGACGGAATCTAGAGTGTACTCGTTTTTTTTGGAGTACACAAAAATGGGGAAGTCTTTGTTTTCTGGAACTGATCATTCAACGTAGGAAGTACAATTAGTATTAAGAGGATGTGGTGTTTGTATTCTTCTTTTTTTATCAATATGGATTATCCACATTTGAGATCTACATTACTTACGATAGTGTTATGTGAAAAGCATTTAGCGAATTACTGAATAGGAGAATTTAAGAAAAAATAAAAGTAGATGTAACAAGTTTTAAAGTAAGATTAGTCATCGTCTAACATTTATGTCATTGCGAATAGGTATAAAGTATTCGCAAGCATACCTAGAAAAAGAAATTCCCAATATTTATTTTTGATTGTTTTAGAAAACTTCACTTAATTTCGGTTTCTTTTGTCATCATAATTTTACTTTTTGTTTGATTAGGTTGTCTATTGAAGTGCTTCTTAAGAAAAGAACTTACTTTTCTAGAAAATATTATTAAGAATTAGAACCTTGATAAAACTCTCTAACGCTAATTACAAAAGAAGAATCTTCACTTCGAAATAGTTCTCAATATTAATAATCTTCATGCCCTTATGATGATCTTAGGACCGGAGCTTTCACTTTTCTCTTGAATAGATTCGAAGATTTTTAATTAGAAGTCTGAGAAAAAGTAAATTTCTTTTTATTACTAACACATTTCAATTCCTTCATTCATTGGATTTTTTCTTGTTCATCTTTAAAATGTATATTGGTTTACTGGTTCCCTACTAAGATGCACAGTAAACACGGACCAAAATCTTAACAGCGATTCTAATCAAACAAATATAATGAAATACTTGAATAGAAGTACTTTTTAATTAGAGGAGTCAAGATTATGCCTTCATCGAAAGCATCAAACATATGGTTTTGATATTTATTAACGATTTAGGTACGGCCCCATTCAAAGCATCGAATAACATTAAAATAAAGATTATATAGATTTCGGGATTATTTGTTTCTAGAAGTATAAATTTTCTACTAAACACGTTTATTACCTCCGCAGAAAAATTGTTTATTTTTTCAAACTCTAGACTTTGTCAACAACGCTTGGTGACAAAAGAAATGAGTTGTGAAGGCAACACATAGTCAAATAGCACGCATATAATACGATCCAAACCAGGTTTATATTAAATGAGTGGCTATGAGTAGATATTTTTAAGTCTTTTGATTTATGAGAATCTGTCATCAGAGTTCGTGCAAATATTCGAGTAGACAGTAGGCTACAAAAATAAGTCGGAATATCAGGTTTTTTCTTAATGATAATTGTTTCTAAAAGCTAACTGTTCAGACGACGAAAGCTAAAATAGTTCACTCTCAGAATGTTAAAATTACGTTTAGGATAAATCTTCAATGTAAAGTTAATCAATTACAGGTGTTCTAGTAGATAATACTACGTATATCACTATATGACAAATTAATCAGAATTATATCCGATCGTGCTTTAAGACTGCTGCCGAACAATAATATTCTTATGTTTTATTACTATTTAGAAAATATCACAGTATTTACTTTTCAAGTTTTCTAAAATCATAAGTCTCGTGATCCTGTTTTTCAACAAGATGTTCAATTGAGAAAAAACATTTTTGTTCTATGAAAAATGCGTTAGCAACAAGTAGATTCTAAAATTAAAGAAAGAAGAAAAGAAAAAAGCTAGTTCTCACTATCTATGAAATTCTATAAAATTCGAATAGAGTTTTTCAATCTTTATGATAGAATTCAGTTAGAGACCGGAGAAAATACAAAAATGATTGTTATTTATATACAGAAATCGTCGTAACTACAGAAAACTGAACTTTTATATTGGCAACTGGTTACCCCTTTCATGAGGGATGGGAGTGCTTAAGAAAGTTTACAATTAAGTTCATATGATGTTCTAAGCATATTGTTGTTTTTCTTTTCTATAGTTGATACAAAAAAAAACATAGCATACCATCTGACTCATGTTGAGCATAACAATAGGGTATGCTTATCTCTGTAAGAAGTAAAGTAACATAGCTGAGAATCTGAACGAATTTATCACAGTACACAAATGCGAACTTCTTTGCTTTCTTCATGTATTTTCATCGTTAAATGCTGCTGTGTGTGAAAAATTTGATTAGCAATGATTCATAATGACGTACTAATATTAAAAAAAGTCCCCTGGAGCATTTTAATGAATAATTAATTAAAGAAATAAATGGTTTCAATATCAGTATGATCTAAAGAATGAACCGCCCGGTGATTTTGTTTATGTATTATGCAATCTGTAGTGCAATTAGAAGTAAATTAATGTAGTTTACAACTCCTCTTAAAGGTACTTTTTCTTTTACATTTAAAAGTAAAATATCTCATCTGAAATTTTCCGAGAAAATAACTAGCGACTAATTCAGTTTGAACATATTGATCATCTGCTGAACGCAAGTTAATTGTCGACTTCTTTTTATCATTGTACTTACAAGGAACATTTTCAATGATATTCATTCTATTATTTTAATGGAAAATTTTATGTTTTGTTGATTTTTGTTGAAGAAAGATGATCCACAATAAACGCTGAGGTATATCGAGTAAAACTGCATAACGGTACCCAAGTGAGAAATCTTGAAAGGATCACGCCCTATGAAAAATCAAGGGCGAAAATGCTCTAGTAAAGTCATACATCTTTCCATAGTCAACTATAATAGACACATTAGGAATATTCTCTTGTCGTCTTTCCTTCGTCACAGTTCTCTCATCAATAAGATCTCTTTTATTATACAAAAAAAAACTACATTCTCATTACATTTCTGTTACAGACTTGGTTAAACAGTAGAAAAAAAGAATCCTGCAGTGATCGCATTTCATGCTGTTCAAAATAAATATTTCTACAATGAGAGATTACACGAAATGCATCTTTTTTCGTTGGATTTTATGCGATCGAAATAATTAAATTTAAATTTAAGAAAAAACAATTGACTCTATACTATGATGACAGTTGTCTACCCATATTCAAGAAAACGGTGCGTAAAATGACGTAAACGATCTAAAAACGGTATAAAACGTTGAAAAGCGGTTCGTAAAACGAGCTGACGGATTACGGTGAAATAAAGTGAAAATTAATGCCGTATTACACCGTTTTATAGACATTTCTGACCTTTCAAGGTGCTCGTTCAGACGGTCGGAATGATTGTCTTGAGCTATTCAAGCAAATTTGTTGAGTTCTATTCTTTATTGGCACTTTCTAATTAAAACGGTAAAAAAGACCCTGAAAATCATGAAGCATCTGATGAATAATGATAATTAGAGCTTTTTAGAGCTTTCTCTTGTTTCTATAGCACAACATTGTTCTAATGTGAGGGCGGCCTACTTTGAAGAGTTTCACTTTGATAATAGAAAAATTCATAAAAACTAAAGACAGTAAGAAATGCAACATCAATTGAAGTGTTTAGTAAGTAGAATTGATGTCACAAAGAAACATGTTTACTCAATAATAGCTGTAGGAAGGTTTTTAACGCTTGGAAAATGAAAATGATTGCGACGCATGTTGTATAAAGTTTATTAGTTTTTCTCTCTTCTAAAAATAACGGTAAAATAAGCAACAAGTGAACTATGAAAATCTCACACTAACTTTTATTCCTGAATACCAGCTATCGAAGATATGGTTTGTGTTAGCTCACTGAAGCATGACAACTAGGGGCGTTACTTTATATTTACATTATGAAATAAATATAAATAAAATGCTGATATTTTTAAAATAAAGATAAATATTTTATTTATATTTAAAAAAGAACATGAATAACTTTGAAAATCTTTATTATTTGAAAAATAAAGATAAATAAATCAGATAATTCGAAAAAATAAATATAAAGCTAACAATTTTTCTATGAACGACAAAGAAACACATTTCTGATGTAACAAGACGGAAGGCTAATTGTAATTGTTTGGTACGAAATATTTTCGTCGATTACAAATTCAATGTATACACGTAGAATCAGGAGATTACATATGGCTACAAGCTAATTAACGTTGTTCTTTTTGTTTTTGTAATAATCTTATAATAATTCAAGTTAATCCACTCACTGGGGGCGAAATCGAAATCAACTGATACTGATTATTCTTTTCCACTCACCGCCATTCTTATTTAAAGAAAGACATGAATTAAATTAGATTCCACTTTTAACGTGAGGGGAATGTTGAACTTTATTCCAAATGTACAGAATAAGGAATTGACTTCTGATCATTTTTTTAAAACACTGTCGTCACGGTTTCTCGATGGCGACATTAATTAAATTGTGCAGCTCACTATTTAAGTAAATGGTTTTCAATGCT